TACTCATACCAGTCATGTATGAAACCACCAATTGCTGTACATCCTCGCCAACATTTGGTCTTGTATGGCTTTTTAATCTTAACTATTCTAGTGTCATCTCATTGTAGTTTTAATTTGCATTTGCCTCAAGAAATAGTATCTCCTTGTGGTTTTTTTTTTTAAATCAGCTTTATTTACTTACATACAACACTCACCCATTTTAAGTGTACAATTTGATGAGTTTCAACAACTGTATACAGTTGTATAACTACCACCAGAGTCAAGATATAGAATATTTCCAGCATGCCCCCTTACAGTCAATCCCCTCCCTCATCTACAGTCCCTGGCAACCACTGATGTGATTACTTGACTATAGTTTGCCTTTTCTGCAATGTTATGAAATCATAAACTAGGGCTGGCCAGTTAGGTCAGTTGGTTAGAGCAAGAGTTCATATCCCCCATACCAGCCAGCTGCCAGGAAAAAAAAAAAAAAAATCATGAAGTATGTAGTCTTCTGTTTCTGGCTTCTTTCACTTAACATAGTGCTCTTGAGATTCATCCATGTTGTTGCATGAATCATTTTATTCCTTTTTTATACCTAAGTAATATTCCATTGAGCAGATATTTCACGATTTGACCATTAATAGTTGGTACATGTGAGTTGTTTTCAAGTTTTTGCTACTATGAATAAAGCTGTTATGAACATTTGCACACAGGAGTGGAATTGCTAGATCATATGTTAAGAGTATGTTTCACTTTATAAGAAATTACCAAGCTGTTTTCCAATGTATCATTTTGAATTCCCACCAGCAATGTATGAGTTCCAGTTGTTCCACATTCTGACATTCAGTATTTTCAGTCTTTTAAATTTGAGCCATTTTAGTGTGTAAGTGGTATCTCATTGTAGTTTTAATTGCACTTCTCTGATGATTGATGATAATCTTTCTCTCATCTTTCAAAGCTAATTATCTCAATTAAAGACTCAGCTTTAATCTCCCATGGATAGAATCAAGTATATTTTACCACAGCTTTGTAATAGTAACATACTACTGTAACAGTATTGTAGTACTATTGCATATATATCACTACTACTTTAAGGAAAAAATGGTTTTGGTAGTAGTTTCTGGCCTATTTTAGAATCTATTTTAAACCTGTACCGTATATGTACCAGGCACTGTTAGGTACTTTACATACTTTTTTTCCTATTTAATCCCCATAACTATCTATGAGGTAGGCTTTGGTATTCCCAGTTTACTAATTGATATTTTGAGAGGTTAAATATCTTTTGGAAATTTTGTTAGCTTTTCCTGTGGCAGTCCCTGGCACTTGATGTGTTTCAATCCATTGTAATAATTAAGGCACAAATGGGTTTTAGAAAACAACTACCTTTGATCCTTCTTGTGTTCTTTCACCTATGTGAGAAATCGCCTAAGAACAGCATAAGGCTGCTTGCAGCTTTCATTTATCCAAAGTTGGTGAAGGGGCAAGTCAAATGAGCCTGGTATGGATCCCTGGATATCAATGAGCATGAAAACTCTGCTATAAGGTGGGATCTTAACGGCTAAGGGCTGTCTGAGAGGCTGTATCAGAATCTCAAATGGCATGAAATGGAGCTCTCTGAGCCACACATCTCTGAAAACCATTAATGTCTCCAAGTCCCAAAGCAGTTGGGGGATTCAATCATAGTCAGAGGTGAGCCTTAGTCTTAAAGGACAAATGAAGAGGAAGATAGGAGGGGAGATCCCCTGGCTGCCTTTAGTGATCACCTCATCTTCGGTAACTAATCTGACTGAGGGGGGAAGTGGAAAGGTCTTTGTATCCAGATGGACTGCCAACTACGTTGGCCCTCACCAGTGCTGGACTGTCCTAGAGGCCATCAGGTTATATTCTTCAGCTAGGGTGACGGGAGGGATAGTCGCCCTCAGCCAAATAGCCTGACACCCTAAGAATGTACCTGTAATGACAATTGTCTCCTGATGCAGCTGTTAGGTCCATGCATCTGTTATTTAGTTCCAGCTCCAGTCAAAGTCTTTATACTCTGCACCCTGCTCCTCCCCTTTCCAGCTACCAGGAACCCACTGCTCCCTTGCTCTCTCTTACCAAAACTTCTTTCGGAATAACTGAATAATCTATTCAATTCACATAAATCTATGGCTAACTGTGCTTCCTTTCCCAGGAAATTTGCATTCTGACAGTGAAGTATTTAACTAAAGAAATCCCCAGTACGGCAATAATGTAATAGTAGAACGAATGATCATTTCTGTGTACACTGGGGTGAAGGTGAGAGTGATGAGATATCTAGACCTTGTTCTGGCTTCTTCCCTTTAAAAATATCTCCACAGCTGCTCCACTTCCCTCCAGGAACAGGTTTTACATTTCTTGTCTGCCTCTCCATACCCAAAGAGTAGGGCTTGGATGGTGAATCAAGAAAGGAGTAACTGGGGCCGGCCCGTGGCTCACTCGGGAGAGTGCGGTGCTGATAACACCAAGGCCCCGGGTTCGGATCCCATATAGGGATAGCCGGTTCGCTCACTGGGTGAGCGTGGTGCTGACAACACCAAATCAAGGGTTAATATCCCCTTACCGGTCATCTTTTTAAAAAAAAAAAAAGAAAGAAAGGAGTAACTGTGCGTTAAGTCTCCTCTATGTTCTAAGCACTTTTACAATATTTGGCTTCAATTTTCACAGCCCTGCAATGAATGTATTATATTCATATTATAAATAAAGGAAGACTTTTAGATAACATGTCCAAGGTCACATAGTAAGTGACTATGAACTGGGATTTGAACCCAAGATCAGCCTCTGAGGCCCATGATCTTTTCCTGACACAATGCTACCTCTTCATTAATATTCATTCTAAGGAACTTAGATTCTGATCAATCCTGAGTGGATCTGAATTAAATGGGAATAGTGACCACCCTTCTCCACCCACCCCCAGCTCCAATCCTTACTCTGCTGCTCCAGAAATAGCCTGTACTTCATTCCTTGTCTCAGGAGAACTCATTTCCCTTCCTCCAAACAGGGACTGGGTAAGTTATCAACTTAGGAAGACAACTGACATATTCTGACAAATATTTATTCTACCATACTCCCAAATTTAAATTTTCCAAAAAAAAATCTCATTACCTCTCAAAAACTCCTTATTGGCTGAATACCTCATATTGTGGGTATTCAGTGCTGAAGTATGTATGCTGAATGCTTAATGAGCATGATTTAATTTTCTCTCAGGAGTGAAAGGTAAATGTGACACACAAGTCCCATTCCTTTCTCCCACCCAGCAAAACACGTATACCTATCAGATACTCAAATGTGATGAGAAATTAAGAAAGTGTATAACCATCTTTTAATCTACTAAGACCACTATATTTTCACTGCTCATTAACCTTCCTAAGTCCTCCTCCCACCATCATGCTGCAACACTGGTCCCCTCTCCAGTTATAGGGCTAGAAACAGACTGGTCGTGCCATATGGAGATTCTCAGAGGGCAGGCCCAAGAAGTGAAGTCAGTTACCAAGGAAGGAGTAAACTAGCTCAAACAGGTCTCCACACCTAAGCCCTGGCATCAGAGGACAAACCACAACAAAGCTGCTCTGCAGGTGGCTAGCTTTCTCTCAGGAAGGCTGTCTACTCCCCCGGTCACATCTGTGCTCAAAGTGCATCAAGGGAGTTCACTTTGATTACATCAAAAAAGACTTAACAGGACTGTCAAGGACCTCTCCCATTATGGCCGGACTTTAAAGTCCCTATAATTGAGCAGCAAGTGCTGCTCAGGACTTTACTACCAAGCAAAATGTCAACATGGCCTTAGGACTGGGCCAGCAATCCTACTCTGTGGCCTTGAACCCAGTCAGGCCTTTCAGTGATCTTTCCAGGGATTCATCCCAACTCACCACAGAGCTCCAGGAGCTATGAAGCAGTGGAGTCTCTATCTCTCCAAAGCTCAGAGGAAATGATGACAACTAAAGGCCAGGATGAGATGGTGTAGCTGAGCTGCCTGCCTGATGTACAAAGGGGAAAACCTGTGAATCAAAGATGTGGGGCTTCTTAAGTGCACCTCTACAAGAAAAACTAAGTGAAGGGATTGTAGGGGCTGAGGAGGTGAGGAGCAACAAGCAGCAACTGAGAAGTGCTGGGTCAGGAAAGAGCATAATTAAAGTGAAAACAACCTTTCTGAATCCAAACTCTCCCACCTTACGCTTCCCCAGGGTGCCACTTTCCCTAAGTGAGGGAGAAGTAGAGCTTTCTGGTATAGGTGCTTCTGTCTTTGAAATCTCTGTATGTGCAATACACTCAGTCAACATTTGCTGAACGCTCACTGTTTACTGAGTCTAAGGCAGGCAGGTAGATTTACGGAGTACAAGAGTGTAGCCAGAAGTCTGGCTGAAAGCCCATCCTACAATAGTGACTGCTCCTGAAACCCACCAGGCAAGCCACCAGACCCTGCTTGCCATAGAGCAGAACACAAGACTTCTTTTGTGTTTTGGGGAAACCACAGCTCCTTCCACCCTCTCCCTGGGTTGTGTTCTTTGATATATGGACATAGATAATGGTGACTGGGATTATCTGGCCTCTTTTACTGGGGCCATGGGGAATTCACTAAGTCCACAGAACCTCTCAACCTCAGAAAGCCAGAAGCTGAAGAGGTGACATCCATGACAGAGAAGTCTAGAAGGCTAACCAAGTAGTGATGTGAGGTCAGAACACGAAGACCTAGGGCTATTGGCTGGGTGGATACACGATAGAAGAGATGGTCTGCAGGGGGCGAAGCCCCCAAGACTAGGATGACAACCTCTCCTACCTGTCTACTGAGGAAGTCCACAGATTTCTGAAAGTGGCTCCTCAGGTCTGAGAGTGGGGGAGGGGTGAGGAGAGACCTGAGGAAATGAGAACCTTCAGAAGAATCCCCTTAATTACAGAATAAAGGACTTAGAACCCAAATATGTTCAGTATGTTTTCTCCTCTTGAGCTACAACTCAACCACTGCACCAAGGCCTACAACAAACCACACATGGCTCTCTGAAGGTAGAAACCAAACCCTGCTTTATAAGGCTGCATGGCCACGGTTGGCTTCTCTGCTGATTTATGAGGTGCCAGCCAGGCAGACAGGTGACAGGGGTAAACCTTCCTCACCTTCTCCCCAGCACCACCATCCCTCCAGCCCTCCATCTCTGCAATTCAACTACTTCAAAAAATACTCTGATGAGGGACAAGGTGGAGGGGGCAGGGGCTTCAGGCTGGTCAGCAGGTCGGTTCCCATGAGGTAGCTGATGCTGGTGCTCCCCGGCAGGGGCTTGTGGAGAGAGGCTAGTCATGGGCTCACAGCAGTCAGGAAAGAGTCACTGGTTGATTGGGACGTAGAGGAAGCAGAAAGCCTTGAAGTCCGCCCAGAGTCCTTGATCACAGGTAACATCTGGGTGGAGAGGCTGGGCTCTTTGCTGGTGTCCTCAGTGTCCTTTAAGGAACTGTGTTTCCTGGGGAAAGGGGAAAGACCAGCCTGAGTCTTCTTGGGCTTGCATGTGGTCCTATCTTCAGAGAGTAGCAGGCTTTCCTCAGAAGAGCTGTGTTTTCTGCAAGGAAAAGGTGGGGAAAGAAATGGCTGATACACTGAGTAGCTGAGACTTTAACTTGTGATCTGCCTTCAGAGTCTGGAGCAGGTATTCACGACATTACGGTATTGTAGACTGTAATTATATGGCATATTAACAACCATAAAATATATTTTATTTACTTGAAGTCTTGAGAGCTGAATTGAAAGTGTGAATGTGGGTGAGGGTAGGTGGGCTAAGGAGTTCTTACAGCTAGTGGGTATGGTGAAAGTGGCCATTTCAGCAGATGATTCTGTGCTCCAGCTCAGCTTCACTGGGCATACCAAGAGCCACCAGGAAGATGATATTGTGGCTGCAAAGTGTGATACTTCCACCATCTCCCAGCTGGAGAATGCTGGTCTTGTCACGGTGTGGGAAGAGAAAAAGGAAGAAAACTCCTCAAACTCACAACCAACAGCCCCGCCCGTGCCCAGGCCACACTCACCCCAGCTTGCTGGTCTCAGATTTGCTGAAGGCACTGAGCATCATGTCACCCTTTGGGACAGTCAGAAGTGATGTTGGGAGAGACCACTAAAAACAAAGGAAGCAATGAGGACAAAAAGAGCTAGGCAGAGGTTAGACAGCAGTGCTTGGGGTGTTGGAACTCTTTCCAGCTCTACCTCTGAGTGATCATGGGCTCTCCCCTTCTCTACCCTTCAGGCATGGGCCCATATGGGTAAAAGTCTTGGTTTTTCTCCTGAATCAGACAACAAGTTGAGGCCTACAAAGCACTTTTTGATCCTTGAAAGAAAGGCACCCAGGGAATCCTGGAGGCAATCATTCCCTTGAAAGGAAAGGGTCATGCAACACAGGCAGGGTCTAGGGGAGAAATAACAGGGTCTGTACCTACACCCCAGCTCATGCTGCACTCATAAGGCAGAGGAGAGAGAGGCCTGAGAAAGAGCCATCTCTCCCCGCCCCCATCACCACACTGGCATCACTCACCAGCGGAGCAGAATCAGAGACAACGCCTGTGTGGAACCCTTTGTAGCACCAACTCCGAAGCAGATCTATTCCTAGAACAAGAGTAGCAGGGATTGGGACTTAAGAGGGTGAAATTACTAGGCCGATTCTTCTTTCCAGAGTGGCCCACTTCTTGGTCTACTGGGATTTAATCTCTCACTAAACATGGCCTCCCACAGACAGGGAGGGCACATCACCTTTGAGCTTGTTGCCATGGTACTTCTGCTCCCACTGGGTGGTGAGAATGTTGAAATATCGTGGTTGCTCAAAAAAGCGGAGATAGCGAGAAGAGATTCGAGAAGGAAAAATTCGTTCAAATTGACCACGGCGAGAAAACTCATCCTCCACCTCGACCAGAATCCGGACGTCATCTGGTGTCAGAATATCCAGCACAGAGGCATAAAAATCCTGTGGCCCAAGGAACAGGGAGAAAGAAGACAGAGAATGTAACCCAGGGGCAGAGGATCAAGAAGCTGGGGGACAGAAAGCACAGCCCTAGGATACTGGAGCTCCGGGACATACATGGGACCACTATGGCAGCCTGGTGGGCCAGCTCTGTACCTTATCTGTTCCTAAGTCTACTGAACTTAGCTGGTAGAGGAAGACACTCTTGGTCAGGATTGGAGGCAGCACTGGAGCTCAGAGGTTAAATGGCTTATTGGATGGAGTCAAGATCAGGATCCAGCAACTTGGATTTGGCCCTAGCCTTATGTCTGCCACTCTTACATCTGGCTCCCTAATCTGCTATGAGAAGGTCAAGCCTCCTAGGATTTCACTGCACCCCTCAGGGAAAGAAACCTAAAGCGTAAAGGTCTATGGTTCTGACAACAAGAGAGGGCCAGTACAGCATTCTGGTAAGAGCAGCAGTTCTTGAAAATGTGATAGACTATCAACTCTCTCCCAGAATGATGCACATGCCAACAAACTGTTATGCATCAAGGAGATTACAGACCTGCGTTAAGATATCCTACTCTAGAGAGAAAAAAACTGGTTATCTTAGGGTCCCAAATGTTTGACCAGTGAAGCTTTCTGCTGGCACATGGGGGAAGACCAATCTCCTACCTGATCAGGAATTTTCTGGGTCAGATAATAGGCTTTCTTCATCTTCTGTGCATTGAAATGCTCCGGAGCCATTCGAAATTTGTCCCTAGGGGAGCTGGGTAGGCTAAGGCACAGGGTGGAAAGAAAGCAAAGGGTATGGTCAGCAGCTTCATATCCTGAGGAAATATGGAGAGAGGACCAGCTCAGGAAGGCACTCTTCTCAAGAGAAGACAAAGACATATGGATAGATGTTTGGTTACTTGAGAAGATCAAACTAAAATGCACACCACTAAAGTAACCTGTCTGAGAGTCGTCAAAGATAAAGTACATGCAAGAACTAAGAGTACAGAGCACCACCCTCTTTACGTTGAATTTGAGTGATTAATAAAAAAGAGGGCCCCAGAATAAGCCTAATTGCTGTATACTTTGGTTTGTTTTAATTTAGTGAACACTTACTACAAACCCAGCTCTGCTCTACTGGGTGTATGACCTGGGCAAGTGACTTAACCTCCCTGTACCTCAGTTTTATCATCAATGGTACCACAATTACTACAATCACTACTGAGAGAGACAAAAAGATGACTGAAAAGCAGCCCCTGCCTCCAAGAAGCTTATGGTATGGCAGGTGGAATAAGTCAAATGACAACCACAGGACAGAGCCAAACATGGGTCTACAAGGTACAACAGGGAAAGCAAGTTTTGTTACCAGGCAAATCAGGATGAACTCTAGTCCTATCACTCTCTATTTGAATGACCTTGGATGGGTCACATAATCCCAGTGATCTTCAGTTTCCTCATCTGTAAACTACAGATACTAATACTAACCTCACAGGCTTGTTGAGAGGATAAGTTACAGGTTTTTCCTTGCACATCATAGGTACTGACTCAGTATTAGCTCCCTCTCCACAAAAGTGGTTCTAAGTGCTTTGAAGAGATGGAGGAAAAAAGCCCACACTGAGCTGGCTTCATGAAGATGTTGCCCTGAGCTAGGCTTTGAAGGATAGGTGAGGTTACGATAAGTAGGTCTGGCTGAGGGGCATTTCAGGAGGAAGAAACCTCATGAGCAGAGGAGAGGACACTATAGGGGAACAGCAAGAGGCACTGAATATTTCAGACAGGAGACTGGAACTGATCCTTAAGGCTCCTTCCAGCCTTGAGGTTCTGTGAGTGATCCAGGTTGTCAGAGCACAAAAGCCAAGAAGAGGAGTAAAGAGAGATGCATCTAGGAAAAGGGAGCTGGAGTTGCAAATGTCCAGATAAGGAGGTTAAATTTGATTCCTAGGCCCTGTGGAGATTCCTGAGCAGGGAAGCAATATAACCAAACATGCTTTTAGGGACACTGACATAGCAGTGATGTTTGGGTGGATGGCAGGGGCAGATTGATCAGCAAGGGATGCCAAGCAGGAGGGAGTACCCTTCCCGGAATCACAATGGGACTGCTGGTCAAGCTGCCAGCTGAGCCTCTGGGAAGCAAGGAGGCTGACCTGGTGCTGGAGCTGTTAGAGCTGCTGGAGCTGGAACTGATATCCTCTGCGTTGGGCAGAACAAAACCCGCCAGGTTCAGAAGGTCACGGATCATCTGGCCTTTGATGCTGATGTCCAGTGGAGAGTTGGAGTGGAGGCTTCAGGGAAAGGATGCAAAGAGTGGTCAAAGCAGCACTCCAAAATGGTTTCTGGCCTGGTTTCCCTAGGATGAAAGGGGCTCAGACATCCAAACGCATAAGCACCATCATGAGAGTCTCTTGCCACAAAGATAGTGGATAACCTCACTTGGGGTAGTAAACCTGCCCACAACTTTGGTTTGCTAGAGGAAAGCAAACGGTAGGGACTCAACTGGAAAAGAACAACTTTTAACAACCTCTCTCCATTCTCAAAGAACCATGAGATCAGTGCAAAGTATGAGTGAAATGAGCAAACACAAAGACCACGAAGGGAAACCACAAATTCCAGAGAAAGAAAGATCTTCCCAAAGTCAGCAAGAATAGAGTGGCAATGGGATCATGAGGTTCTAGGAAGAATTTTGCTGTGAGTGTCTTGAGAATACCACCTACCTTGGGGAAATGTTAACTTCCAGGACCCAGGGCTTGAGGTTCTCATCCAGCATGATGTCGAAACCGAAGAGCTCATGGCAGCTATAGGGCCGCCTCACATACATCTTGAGCAGGTTGGTCACGTAAGGCTCTGACCTGGTCACAGGGATGAGGAAGTACTCAGCTCAGATTCTCTCAGAGTGCACTACCCAGAACTGCCCTGCCAATGGAGTGGCCCAGAGATAGGCAGGCAGAAGCAACCCAGGAAATATGACTCTCCACAGATGCCTCTGATCTGGGACGAGCTCCTGGGATGTAGTTTGGTAGATGAGCAGAATTTAACTTCATCCACTCCTTCTTATTCCCTGTCCTCAAAACTTAACCAAAACACAATCAAAGTCTGGAGCACAGCAGTGTGAAGGACAATGAGAAAAGAGGGGATTCAGTGGCAGGCCCCACACCCAGAGTGGCAGTGTGACTCACGAGATGATGGTTTTGACAACAACATCCTTTATCTTCTCCCAGATGGCATCACTATTGACTCCCTTCTGGCTCAAGTAGTTCCACAAAGCCTTCAGAGCCCTGAGCAGGGAGGAAGAGGGAGTACCTAGGGTTATGTTCTAGGAATGAGTAAAAAAGAAAAGAGAAAGACAAAGCAACAAGAGACCTAAAGGTATTTTCTTCATATCTCTTCCTTTGATATTTTGAATTAAGAGATGAACGTGGGGCAAATAGATCAATTCTGAATTGAGAAGTGTTTATATAATCTTCGGGTCTTATATTAATCCTCTATTCACCATCCCCATGAAACTCCCCAAACCCCAGAACCCTACACTCCTCTAAGCCTTCACTTGACTGAGACATTCTGCCCTCGGTACCATTTGTGGCCCTGGCAGGCCGTTTCGTCCGCATTGGCCTGGTACTCGGCATTCTTTTTGTTGACACTATAGTTGGTCAGGTGCATGAACTTGTTGCCAAGGCTCTTCATGGAAGGGGAATACCTGGAAGCAAGAAGAAAGGCGAGGTAAGATGGTAAGAAAGCAGATGAGGAATAGGCCAAATATTTCCCCAAATCCTGAGGAGGTAAAGGACAAGCGCATAGATCTTTTCAGATCCATAAGGGCCTGAGAAGTATGTCTGCTGGCAAGATTCTAGAAAACTACAGCTGAACTCATCTCCTTTATCCCACCTTACTCCCACAGGAACACCTTACTGGATTCAGTGAAGTAAAGAACCTTCTATATTTTTATTTTTCTGTTTGGTATCCTCTAGCTTCCCTCCCTCTGGGGAGTATAAATATCCGAAAATGTTAGGGTGATACCTCACCACAATCACATACTTGCAACTGGCAAAGCGGACGAGTCCGTCTGAAAAGAGGTAAATCCGCAGAGGATCATAGGAAGTGACGTAAACATAGATCCGCAGATCAAACTTGCTGCCACTGATGAGGTAGGGTTTGTGTAGATACCTACATAGGGGAAAGGCCAGCTTCTCATCCAGCCAGATGAGAGAGGGCTCAGTGGGAAAGTGAGCCATGGTGAAAGCCAGCTAACAGTCCCTGAGATAAAGATCCTAAGAGAGTTGGCTAAGGAAGGTCTTTGGCTGAGAGGACAAAGAGCAGAAGAACATTGTAAGAAGGGAACCTTGATGCCAAGAAGGTGGGAAGATGGGGAGGGAGATGTGAGATAGAGAGCAGGCTCACCTCTGTACCAGGAGGGGCCTTCGCTTGGGGAGCTGACTCCACTTGTGAATGACCTGGATACCAATGCCTCGAGCTGATGCTGGCTAGAAATCAAGTGGAAAGGAGACAAGATTTGCTTCAGGCCCAAATCTCAATGTTGTTCTCACTCTCAGACCATAGTCTACTGCCCATTGCAATCCACTCACTGGCTTTACAATCCACTTTTGGCGGCCACTGCTCTCCCAGGCTTTGCGCAGGAGCTTGGCATCCTGGGGCAGGATAAAGGACTGAGGGAAGAAACTGAACTCCTTCTTGCCAAAGCGGCTCTGCATGCGGGACAGATTCCGCCACAGCCGGTCCTTCCTCCCAATTTGGAATGAGCCTGGGAAGTGGTTTAGCTACAGAACAGACACAAGGTGAAAGCAGGGAGAGGGCAAAGATGAGACCAGGAGGAAAATGACAAGATTCTCCATACCATTCCAACTTCTTTAGCAATATTCCAAGCTCCTATTCCACCTTCCTATCACATCTTAATGATCCATAGGTATCCAACAACTGTTGAGCACTCATCAAAAGATGATTAAAACACAAAAGACACACTATAGTGATTAAGACAGAAATGCTATTCATATTCAGAGTGAAGAAAAAGCTATTAAATCTTTTTCCATGATAGCCTATGGGACAAAAACAGGAAAGCACCTGGCCTTTAGGAAGTCTGGGAGCAAGGGACTCATTTGTTCCAACATGAGACCAGAAGTCTTCACACATAATCCGCTTGGGGGAATGGACGTTACAGAGGAAGAACAATAACTAAAAAGAGACAATGCATCTCAAGACACTTTAAAGGAAAATGTGTCTTTGAGAGGCTGTGACTGCCCAAGACACTACAGCTGAACTGGAGATGTGCATTATCTGCCAGGGTCTCATACTGCACTCCCCTCCTGCACTCTCCTCCATAAACTTTCCTGACTTCTCTGTGGTCATCCTCTTCTTCTCATACCCCTCCCCTGCCCCCAATACCACCCCACTCCTGGCCTAGTTCAAAGTCCAGGGGAACAGCTCCTCAGTTAAGGGCCCCTACCTTCTGATGCTCTCGAATGGACCGGAAACTAGGAGACTTCATGTGGTGACCCCAGCAGCCCAGCCAGTCATCGTTTCCTGCAGAAGGCACAACAGGGAGTCAGACCTGCTAGCAGCTCAGGCCCTGGGACAGACAGAGGCCCACAGGCCCCAGAAATACCACTGGGCCTGGGCACAGCTCCCAGACTCAGTTGGAAGAGTTGCCATGGAGCTGTCCTACATGAGGCTCTGGGGACAGGGATAAAACAATGGCCCTCTGTCTCCCAATTCTGAGCAACAGGCTCAGCCCAGAGGTCTTTCAGAGTTATGCCTTCCTATGAGGTTGAAAACTTTAGAAGAGAGTTCCCAATTGCCCCCACAAAGCAGGAAGTATCTAGGGCTCTTCTCCCACCCAAAGCCTGCTGTTGGGGCGAAGAGGACAGGCTCGCAAGAAGGCAAGTGACTCACTCTTGCTGATTTTGAAGTGCGACCGTCCAATGGTCTGTTTGACAATGTTGGGGGTCACCGTGCTCATCTTCCACCGCAGCAGTTTCCTCTGCTCCCAGGGAAGTTTCTCAACTGAGAATAGAGGGGATGGGAAGGGAGGTTGGGGGGTGGAGAAGAGCAGGAGAGTCATGGCAAAAAGATGAAAAAGATGGCACAGTTGCCCATCCTTCCCTGGGTAGGCAAGTCACTAAATACTGTTCCAGATCAGGGTATCAGAGGAGCACACTTTGGGGAAAAAAGGGGGACTGTGCAGGAATGAGGAACAAAGAAATGGGAAGTTGAAAGGGGAAAGAAACAAGGTTAGAGGGCATGAACTAAGCATGAGATTAATAAGGCTGGGAATGGTCAGCTAAAGGCCAAACAAGAAAAAGGTCCCCGTATCAGACATATAACCAGGTGGGAAAACCGAGCACAGGGCAATAGCAGCCATAGCGGCCATTCTGGAAACCCTCTCCCACCCTCTGGCACCTCTTCCCAACTTAGCATCCTTCTCTTGGGGGCTCTTCTGGGCTTCAACATTTGGCCAGGTTTACCTCTCTCATCCCGAGTGCCAAAATAGATGGTAGGGGGCACATTGGGGAAGAGACTATAGATGAGGGCTGGTCGGACAACTTTCTCATGACTGGAAAGGGGTTTGGTCAGAATCTCCACACAGCTCCTAAGATGAAAAATAAACATGTGGTAGAGAAAGGGAAAACAACAGCTATGAAGTGTCCTTACTATCATATATAATTCTTTCCAAGCGCTGCCTTTTAAATTGTGACTGTAAAAGACAAGTAGTCAATAATTATTTTGCAAACATTAATCCCTAAGGTGCTAGGGCTAACCTACATACAGCCACAGCATTAAATGTCACCTAAAGACAAGGTTTTCCAATACTTCCTTCTGTAATGCAGCTCCAAAATTTCCTGTGACAAGCCATGAGCTGGGGAAGTCCCTGAAAAGCATGGCTCTGAGAGGGGGAAATGAGTTCGGGTAGATATTAGTAGAAGAAAATGCTACACTAAAAGAAATAAATGAGGAAAGACAAAGAATGATATGGATAATTAAAAAGGAGGAAAAGTTACAAAAGATCTAAGAAGTATAGAGATTTTTTTAAAAGAAAATAAAAGAAAAGCAACAGAAATAAATGAAATAGTGATACTTCTGACTCATTTTCTATTTAGGTTTACCTTAGGATACATGGATGGTTAATGTTCTTTATCTTGGAAATGATTTCTGACACTAGATTTTTAAGTAACAGTGTGGTAACACAGGTCTGGATCTGACAAATGGATGTCTGAGAATCTGGGGCAGTGGGCCATGTGGGTCCCTCCTGTTATTCCAAGGGGTCTCAAAATAGTGAATACCTCTACCATCTGTCAGGTACAAGCTGACAGACCCAGACCATTTCTTTAAACTGTACTGAAAAATGTAGAGAATAGTTATTACCCTCTACACTAAGCTGATATGATGCACAAATAGTATTATAAGATTAACTTTCAGCTTATAAAAAAATCACTTTACCTGTAATTCTTTCTAGCACAACAGAAATGGGCATTGCATGTAAAACACTTCAGTGTTTTAAATCTTAGAAATCTTTAATCAATTTTATTGGGTCAAGTTAAATTATAATTCTCAATTAATTCCAATTAATTCAACTCTATTTCTCATTACCAAAAATTTTTTCTTCAAAGGCTTTTAATTTATTGAGTATCAGAATTTAAGATTGTTGAAAGTCAAGGAGAATGAGTTAAGATTTTAAAACAACGACCAGATAAGAATGTAAAGTGGTGTAGCTACTCTGGAAAACAGTTTTGGCAGTTTCTTAAAAAATTAAACATGCAACTACCATATGACCCAGCAATTGCACTCCTGGGCACTTATCCCAGAGTGACGAAGACTTATGGTCACACAAAAATATGTACATGATTGTTTACAGCAGCTTTACTCATAATAGCCAAAAGATGGAAAACAACACAAATATCCTTAAACAGGTGAAGAGTTAAACTGTGGTACATTCGTGCCATGGAATACTACTCAGCAATACAAAGGAATAAAATATTAATACCTGCAACAACCTGGATCAATATCCAGAGAACATGGCTGAGTAAAAAAAAAAGCCAATTCCAAAAGGTTACATACTGCTATCATTTCATTTGTATAACATTCTTGAAATGACAAAATTATAAAAAGAGAACAAACTAGTGGTTGCTAGGGGCTTAAGGAGTAGGAGGGAAGTAGCTGTGGTATAAGGGCAACAGGAGGGATTCTTGCAGTGATGGAATGCTCTGTATCCTGATACTATCAACCTTAACATCTTGGTTGTACTATATTGTACTGTAGTTTTGCAAGATGTTACCAGTGGGGGAAGCTGGGTAAAGAGTACAGAGGATCTCTCTGTATTATTTATGACAACTGCATGTGAATCAACCATTATCTCAAAATCAAAAATTTAGTTAAATATAAAAAGACAGAAAACCCTTGATAGCTGCCTCTCAAGAGTACTGGACTGGGGCCAACCCAGTGGTGCACTTGGGAGAGTGCGGCGCTGGGAGCGCCGAGGCTGCGGGTTTGGATCCTATATAGGGATGGCCAGTGCGCTCACTGGCTAAGCGCGGTGTGGGTGACACCACGCCAAGGGTGGCGATCCCCTTACCAGTCACAAAAAAAAAAAAGAGTACTGGACTTATGTTCAAGAGACCTGGCTCCTAGTCTAGCAGTGCTAGAAACTGTGAAGTTGGAATGGCTATCAAACTTCTCTGGTCCTTAATTTTTTACATTGGACTTGATGTCTTCCATCTCTAAAATGACATGATACTTAGAAAAAGAACCTGGTAGCAGGAAATGCAATAAAACTATTGCTGGGTAGAGAAACAGAGGTAGTGTTTTTCAATGATCTTTCTGTTTTTCTATGTTTGCCAAATTTTCTATAATAAACATATAAATCTTTCATAATAGGAAAAAAATAAGATTTTAGCAATCCACAAGTACTTCTGATTTTAGATGCAAAAAACTTCTGATCTTTAAAATGCAAAGTGAGGGGCTAGCAGGTTAGCTCAGCTGATTAGTGTTGGTGCTGATAACACCAAGGTCTGGGGTTGGATCCTTGTACTGGCCAGCTGCCAATAAATAAATAAATAAATTGCAAAGTGTTTGGAATTCATCAATCTCCATCTTGAAAACTGTGTTTTAAGCCTCACATAGATAAGGTGTGTAGAATTTGTAGGAGTTAATTAATGAGCAAATGATTAAAAAACATCTTTTGATTAACAAAAACCTTATATATCAAGAAGGCTAGGTAAAGGGCTGTGTAGCTGTCATGAGGCAAGCCTAAATATATACACAGATCACCTTAAGTGTAGGAATGGTAGAACTACAAGTCAATTACATGTTAAGTATCATTTTCTTATGGAGAGTAGAGGTATTTAGTTAACATCCAATATGTACAACCAGAAGTAGCTCTGCTTTTCTGAAGGGAGGATAAGTCAGGCTTAAAGTAAGAATTTATGCACCAGACTCAGGGCACAGATTTCTAACCACCTTTACAGAGAGTCCGAATTCTCTCTCCCCTACTTTCCAAACAGCTCTGCCTCCACCTTGCTGGTTTGGAGCTCTAAAATTGGTATAGCTGCTGCCACATCATCATATTCAGAGAGATGCATTTGCCTTGTCCATACTAACCAGGACATGGAAAGCCCCTTTTCCTCTTAGCTTCATTTAAGGCAGGGGTGACGCAAAGGAAAACAACCAGAGTCTGGGTGCTCCATATGTTGAGCAAGCCTTGACATATATGACTAGATTTTAATTAGAATAGAAATTTTGCACTAAAAACAAAACTCCAATTTTCTATACTTGTATTTTGTTTCTTTTACATTTTTGATAGAAATTATCTTCGAAAAGAAAAAAAAAATCTTTAATGCTTTGGGAGGTTTTTTTTTTTTAAATACTTAATAACAATATGATTACTTAAAGACAGAGCCTCATACTGAGGCAAGGTTGGAAGTAGTAAGGGGAACAAAAACGATTATGCTGAAGAACGTTAAAGGTGGTTTAAATGATCCTTTAGCAAGTTCTAAAAATCTTTAGTACAATGACATGCCATCATTTACAATCCAACATTCTTTCTATTCCCCCACTCTGCATCTGAGCTATGCAGCATCCTACAACTACCTGTTTTACACGTTAAAAGATTGACTTCAGTGGTTTCCTGGTTATAGATAAACATCACTCAGACCATCAAAAACAGTCAACACAATAACTTGGATTAAAGCTAAAGAATTTTATTTTTATTTTTTTTTACTTTTAATTTTTTATAAAGACGATAAGGAGATCTTAACCCTTGACTTGGTGTTGTCAGCACCACGCTCTCCAAAGTGAGCCAACCAGCCATCCCTATATAGGGATCTAAACCCGTGGCCTTGGTGTTATCAGCACCACACTCTCCCAAGTAAGCCATGGGCCAGGCGTAAAGCTAAAGAATTTTATTTTTATTTTTTTTTACTTTTAATTTTTTATAAAGATGATAAGGAGATCTTAACCCTTGACTTGGTGTTGTCAGCACCACGCTCTCCAAAGTGAGCCAACCAGCCATCCCTATATAGGGATCTAAACCCGTGGCCTTGGTGTTATCAGCACCACACTCTCCCAAGTAAGCCATGGGCCAGGCCTAAAGCTAAAGAATTTTTAATTTAATTTATTACTAAGGTTAATGTCAGTCTTATTTCTCAATGTAAAACTAACCTCAGAAAGGAAAAAAGAGCATTTTTTTTTTTCTGGCCAGTACAGGAATCAAACCCTGGACCTTAGCATTATCAGCACCATGCTCTAACCAACTGGGCTAACCAGCCAGCTCAAAAGAATATTTTCAAAAGCCCCAGTTACGGGTATATCTATCTATCTCAGAACTGTTTCTGATAGTGGGACACATTTTATAGTGCAAGGTGGCAACTACCTGTATGTAGGTGGTCTAAAGGACTAAGAATTTACCTCAAACATCATGTTTGTTCATTAGTTTATTATTAATTTTCTAAACACTTCTTGAAATTATTTCCCTCTTAAACAATTTCTTGGAGCCTAAAAACCAAACTGCAGTCTAAGAAACATGGTACTAAGAAACCAACTGCTGAGATGTGCTTCTGGTTCCCCACTGCTCCCTGTTCAAAAACTATAAGTTGCAAACAAAAGCTTGGTGGAAATGAGTGAGGGTTCTCAGGCCATTAATGGCTTGGGTAATTAATCTCTTTATAATTTTGAGACAGAAAATGAGCATCTACCAATGATCTCCACAGCCCACACTCACCGAGAGATCACTGCCACTGACTCGCTGCGGGAGACAGCACTAAATGAGGAGCACTCTGAGTCTCCTAGAGGGAGGAAGAGCAGAGAACACAACTGGAAGAGGCTGCCAACACAACCTCACCAAGTCTACCTAGCTCTTCCTTGAACATCCTGGGCTCAGCCCTTCCTGGAGAGCCCCAAACACCATCTGCAGCCTTGCACTGCCTTCCTTGAGCTCAACAGAAGCAGGGACAATGCAAGACCAGTGGGACAGGGAGACTGGAGACCAAAGTTCCCTAGAAGCCACTACCCTCTTTATTTAGACCCCCAAAGCAAATGATTAATATAGATGATAATGTGAGTCAAGGTCCTGCTATACAATTATTAGCCCCCTTCCCTAGCAGGTCATGACCACCCCCAGGTGAAGGTGAAAAGGTTCCCTACTCACCCTCCTCCTCTTCATTCTCATCATGACTGCAGCAGTCTTCCAAACCATCTACTAGTTCTTCTTCTATATCTTCAGCCTCAGTCTGGTCTGGCTGGATGTCAGTAGTTGAACTAAAAGAAAGAATCGTGCCCCCAGTCCATTCAACTCCATAAGAGAGTCACAGTGAGATTCTCATTCCTTCATCACCTCCCAATATTTGTCTCTTCCCCATCACCAATCTGCTATCTCTAGCCTGAACCTCACAACCCAATTCTCTTGCCCTCAAAGCTTAGGTCTAGCCATAGTTCCTCAACTTTACATCTTCCATTCTGCATAGAGGCATTCTGTCTTTCAGTTTCTTTGAAGTTCCACAAAGCAGGTAAGTACGAAATTTTACATACAAAAAAAATCAATGAAGATCTGGTAATTGACTTCGAATTTCTCTAGGCCACTCTCTGGAAACTCAGAACAAGGCCTTGGTGGGACCAAGCATGCAGAAAAGTAACAAAACACAAGAGAAGGAATTAACTACGTTTACGGACTAACTCTGGATAGCTGTCATACCAGGAATGACTGGGAACCTGATTTGGTTTGGAACAAGTAGAAAACTCACAGGCCCCAACACTTGGTGTTCAGAATTTTTGTTTCTCCCATGGGTATAACCTAAAACAGGGGTCAATAAACTCCTTCTCTATAGGACAAGTTAGTAAATATTTTCAGTTTGCAGGCCATTCAGTCTGTCACAACTATTCAACTTTACCATAATAACAAGGAAGCAGCCACAGACAATGGTAAATGAATGGGCAAGGCTGCCTTCTCATAAAACTTTATTTGATTTTGCCAGCAAGCTACAGTTTTCTAAACTCTGCCCTAACCGAAAATCATAGGGCAGCTAAAAAATAAAACCAACCTTCAGAGGTATAGGGTCAGTGTCACCAAATTATGGTGTATATATTCTACTACTCTAACTTAACCAAAAACTTTCCCCAACTTACTCAATATCCTTAGAAGGTAAGCCCAGCTCCCTGGCTTCCTCAGGCTCTTCCTTCCCAGGCTGGCCCAGATGGATCGAAGAGAGGCGGGTGGCCATGTCAACTACGCCTAGGTGCTGAGGAGGAGAAGGGGTAACCGGAGCTTTGTCTTCTCCAAGTGGTGGGGGGTCAATTAGCGACCCACAGGCAGGGCTGTGGTTCAACCCATTGGCATGTGAGGCAAGGAGGTGAATGCTGATACGTTTGGTGCAGAAGACTGGACTGTCCAACCCCAAGGTGTCTGAGGCACCAGGGAGGATCCTACCCTCTGATCCAGCATCCTTCCGATGAAACTGCTGGCCTACCACAGGAGGTTTCCACCGCTTGTTCCTGCTGAGGTTCCACTGGAAGCTGGGGTTCACGAAATGAGACTGTTCAAATTGGTAGGCTTGCCTCGGCATCTCCTCAAAGCCTCTTGCAGTCAACTGCCTCACAGCCTCAGTGAACCGAACCGCTTTAGTCGGAGCCTGGGAATTAGAGCTGTCATCCAGGCCACAGGGATGTGGCTCTGCCCTCGGGGCTAAGTTATTCCAGTTGTACTGGGAAGAGGCAACACTGGTGGTGAATGTGTCAAGGGAGCTAGGGGTAGATAGGGTGATATGGGCAGTGGTATCATCTAGGACAGTCCCGGTGCTTTGGGGCATCTTACGGTCAAGAGGTGGGGGGGCACAGTCTCCAATAGCCCCCAAATGATGCCAGGAGACAGGTTGGATCTTGGGTGAGGATACTGGCTTTAGGCCCCCCGTGGCCTGTGATAAAGGCACTTTAGTGCTATTTGGCCGCATGAAGGAGTTGTTATTCAGCATGGGCTTGTAGGGGGAGGACAGTGGGGATGGGATCTTCCCTGAGACAGCAGCGGCCAGGCTGTTCCCTGAAGAGCTTTCTCCAGCTGCTGCCAGTGAGAGGTATGGGTCTGCAGATGAAGACGCCAGAGACTGGGCCATGGGGAAGACTGTGGAGGAAGTGGCCTTACTGGCAGTGAGATTGACAGGGAGGCTCTTTTGAGGGAGAGAAAAATGTCTTCTTTCTGGTGGGCTTGAACGCAAGCAGAACGACTCCAGCTGCTGGTATGGTTTGTGCTTATAGTTGGAGCGGCGGTACAGCAAGGTACTGCTGAATGAGTCCGGGAAAGAATGCAGGTAACAAGAGTTGCTGTGGCCTGCAATGACAGCTGTGGTCCCAGAGCTACATAAAGTGCTGGGACAAAAGAAATATGCTGGCTGGGGTGGGACACCCAAGAGGCCTGGGCCCAACCTTGCTGACAATGACCCCACGTGCTTCTTCTCCAGCTTCCAGACTGGCTTCACCTGCTGATGGGCCTGAGACCAGACTTTGCCCTCAGAGGGTTTCTCTGGTGGCAGGGCAGGCACTGTGCCTGAGGGACCACTCTGCTTGAAGCTGTTGCCCCGGCAGAGGCCAATACTGTAGTGCTCTGTTCCTGCTGAGGCCATGAGGGGCCCACATCATGGCCACACGGCTTCGTGGCCTGGCTCAGATAAGATGCCACACGCCTCCAGTAGTAGCAGCTGCATCCTTGAAGTCAGTTAGCCTGAAGGGGAGAGAAATGATTGGGAACATTTACAGACCTAGGAGGACAGACACCATGCTACAGTGGTCCTCAGGTAAGCAATAGAGTCTTCTTCAGCATTTCTTGGGCAACCAGTGTTGGTCGCCACTAGAGCCCTGGGGGAAGAACACCAGATTTTCAGGGAGTTTTCAGTGATTTTCCTGCTGCCCTTGCATGATCAAAGCTGGCTTCAACAAGGACTAAGACTTTAAGACCCCACCAGTGTAAGGCTGCTCATGTGTCCTTACTCTCTCACTCAGAAAGCTTTCCTCTCTGTCCAAAAAAAAGTACATCTTTCTTTTTCACCATCCATGACTTTACATAAGTGGTTACCTTCCCTCTCCTAAAACCAGTGTGGCTAGGACTAAGGCAAGTCTGGAAGTGGCAGAGAAACTAGCCAGTATCTCCCTCCTCACCAACCAATTCTGAAAGATCAAAAATGATCTTTGAAATGCATTTTACATCTACTGCTCCCTAAACCAACTCTCTCAGCTGCCTCTGGTTTGGTCTGCTTTTCATGGTTATGTATAACAAATTCAAACAGGAGCACAGAATTCCCCTGCTGACCCTGGAGTTCACAGCAATTTCATCTCTTTAAGAATTTTGCCAACTACACAGATTTAAATCCTATCCCATGTTGGTAGGAAAAAAAAGAAAGAAAATGGAACTAAACACCAACATTATTTTTACTCGAAGTGACTTTATTTCCAGTAGCCACAATGGTACAGGAGAATTCAGGGAGTAGAATTTAGAGGCAAGAAGGAGAGAGAAACTTTCTGAACTCCGAAGAACGGGCTTCAATTTTGGCTGATCTCAGGGAGAGAGAGTCAGTCTCATTCATCTTCTCATTCAGTGTTTCCTCTTATGCAAAACCTCTGAACCAGGTTTGTAGTTCTGGGTCTCAAACAGTCTGTTCAGCACTGTTCACTTACTTCCTAAACTGAATTCACAGAATATTCTCCAATTTTCACAACTGCAGGAAAGGGTGGGCCTGCTTTCATGGCTGCATCCAGGGGAAAATACCTGTCCATAAGAAGTCATTCATCTGGGATAATTCTGAATGGAATTCTGACATCCTCATCATGTGTTTTCAAAGTAGCTACTAGGAAGGAATTAGCAGAGAGGGTTTTTTTTTTTTTTGCTCAGATTATATTCAAGACACAAAAACAGGGAGAGGACCTTGTATTTTGATAAGAAAATAGTCAAAGGTTTGGATCCCTATACAGGCCACACACCAAAAAAAAAAAAAAAAAAAAAAAAAAAAAAAAAAAAAAAAAAAAAAAAAAAAAAAAAAAAAAAAAGATAAGTGAATAATGGCCAAGAAAGATCCAAGATTCCTGTCTACAGCTACAGAAATGGTGACACAACAAATAGCCTACAGAAGCCACGTGACATTGCCCTCTTTTCCTGCAAAGGCCATGAGCTCTTTTTCAAGGAGAGTCCAAAAAAAATCACAAAGCATCACTGCCAATATTCAAAATGATAGTGGACTAAGAACAACATAAATACTAAAACTATGGGCTGGCCTGGTGGCGCACTGGAGAGTGTGCTGCTTGGGAGCGCGGCGGCGCTCCCGCTGAGGGTTCGGATCCCATGTGGTGACCAGTTCCCACTCACTGGCTGAGCGCGGCGCAGGCACAACACCGAGGGTTGCGATCCCGTTGCCGGTCCCCGGTACGGGTGCGACACCAAGGGTTGCGATCCCGTACTGGTCAGTATAAAAGACAAAAAGGAAAATAAATAAATAAATAAATAAATACTAAAACTAGATTTTGATGCCAGTAACCTCAAAATGAGGTCACAGAAAATGGACCTCCACGCAAGACCCAAACTATGGAAATACTGTGCCAGGAACAATTACACTATGCACTTATGGTAGAAAAGCATATACAAAGGAAAGAATCAAATCCTGCAATGGCTTTACAAGACTGAGCATGTGCATGTGTGTGTATATGTGTGTTATGTACACTCAGCAGATTCACAGTCCCAGCTCACTTAGTCCTGTTTCAGAAATCTACATCTTGCCCCACCAAAGCAACACAACAGACATACCAAAGTGATGGAAGAGGGACTGGCTGGTTGCTCACTTGGTTAGAGCACGGTGCTGATAACACCAAGGTCAAAGGTTCAGATCCCCATAAGGGCAAGCGCCCCCCCCCCCCCCCCCCCCCCCCCACC